TGGCTACTGTAAAGTGTTGAATTTGAGTGATTCAATAAAAAAAAATTAAAAAAACTTCCGCGGGAAAACCGCGGACTTGGCAACACTGCGAAGTTGCGCAGGCGCTGTGAGGGGGAAACAGGGAAACTGAATTCACCGGAACACCGGCGTAAGAAAGTGTAAATACACGCCAGCAGATTTTGGGTTGGGTGTTTGAAATAATAATTTCTAACACATTATCACATTATTAGTACGGCCTCAACAACATGGGAGGTGGTGACCTTGTAAGTACAATTTTGTTTTAAGTTTTCTATTTTTTTTTTTGTAGTAGCGCAGTTGCTAATGATAACCGTTGTGGCCTAGTTTAGCTTGTTTATGAAAACGTACCAATTTCACTCACTGGCCATAAATAAAACAGACTCCACGGTTACAAGTCACGACCTTTATTTATATAGCGCTTTATATAATACAAATCAAAGCAGCTTTACCGTGTTAAGCAGGATGTTTCAGTAATGCAAACAAAATTTTGCTGGAAAGCAGCTCAATAGGACAATAGTAAACAGGCAATTTTTCAGTTAAAGTCAGTTCATCGTTGATTCAGTGATGCCAACATCCAGCTCAGTTCAGTAATATGATCAACTCTATCGCACAGACACTGTTGGATGACCGATATAAAGTTGGTTCGACGTTTGACGTTGGATATTAGACAGATATTCAGCCGCGAAAAACTTCAATAAATTCTTAGTGGATGAGTATAATTGTATACAAAATGGCTTATCTGAAAAGCATTAAAACGTAGAACTGAACACACATCGCAGTTTATTTGTTTTAATCGTCCTCTATATGTTGAAACGCATAAAGTCTCTAGCAGCGCCGAGCTCGTGCTTAGGCCAGCTAGGGACCGTCTACAAAGTACATATAAAGGATAAAACGATGAATGTTTATCCACCGGAATGTTTTTTACAATTAACAAAACAAGAGCAAATAGTGCACCAAGCTCTTTGAAAGATATAAAGACAAACACTTATAACGCTCACTTGAATTTAAATAAGAAATATTGTAAACAAGATATGTGATAGTGGTTATTATTATATTATTACTATTAATAAATATATTAATAAAATAAAAATAATATTAAAAATCATTATCATTCCATAATTTAGTGGTTATGCAGTAGGCTTATTCCAGGTCCTTGTGAGAACATTTTAATATTTGTTGTTTTCACAGAAGTTTGACACCAAAAAAAACACTATTGAAATTTAAACCAATAAATAAATAAATGTAAAATTAATACACTCTTCTGTATTAACCTCATGTCTTTGTTACTGTTTTTATAAGAACATTTTTATATTTGTTTTAGTCACAGAACTGTAATAGAAAACAATTCAACAATTAAGACAAAGCTGGCAAAGAGTGTTGTTTTGCAGTTGTTTTGACTTGAGTTTGAAAATCTAATTTTTAATAAATTAATTTATAACAAATCTCTCACAAATGTCAAACCTCAAACGTCGAACCAACTTTATATCGGTTGTTGGATGAGAATCCAATAGTGTCTGTGCGATAGAGTCAATAATATTAAGTGTCCTCAACTAAGCAACCAAGAAGTCATTTAATAAAAGTGATTATCTCCACATCTTTTTTCCCCAAGAATCCAGTCCTTTCATTAAAAGTGATTAACTCCTTATCTGTTTTTTTCTGAAATCTGAATTATCTCCACAAATACCACCAGAACTTGAAAAAGAGTTGGCATCCGCAAACTCTTAAAAACATCGAGCGAGTGTGGAAAGCGGAACAGAAACATGAGGCGGAGAGAAAGAAGATTGAGGAGTTGCAGAAGGAGCTTAAAGAGGAGCGAGCCCGAGAAGAGATTACCAGATATGCGCAAGAGACAGGCGCTGTAAAGTGTGTGACACTCAGACACATTCTCTCAGTTTTCACAGTCAATCCCAGCACAAAGCTTTTTCATGAAAGAAGTTCATTATAACACATAATGTATAATTGGATTTAGTTATAATAACAGGCTTACAGGTTTAAGCCTATAATGTAATATCAGATTTCTCAATATTGCAGAAAGAAAGATGACCGATTGGACTGGATGTACCAGGGTCCAGCAGGACAGATCTCTCGAGAGGAATACCTTCTTGGTCGCCCCATCGACAAGCAGATCACACAGCAGTATGAGGAACCTGAGAGCGGACCATCAGCTGATACAGGCCTCCTGCCTGGTTCCATATTTAACCCTACAAGTTCTGTCTCTACTAATGATATGGCTGCCAAGATCAGAGAAGACCCTCTTTTTGAGATCCGGTAAGTTGGAATGGCATTTTTATTTTTAACTAAAAGGGTTGTAACCACTGATCTATAATAGAAAACTGGATTGCTCATGATGTCATAAAAGTGAAGCCACTATGCCACCATATTGGTATTCCCTAGTATTCCCATACTTTCTACTGAATTAATAGAAAATCGTATGATTTTAATGAGAAAACATCACCTAACGAGTCAGCATCTTTATATCTGAAGTATCCCTGTGCGTTCTTACAATGCAAACATCCTAAGCATTTAAATGGTTATTTGTTTAATGTCAGGATTCCTGCGTATTAAAGGGGTCATATGATGTTGCTAAAAAGAACATTATTTTGAGTATTTGGTGTAATGAAATGTGTTTATGCGGTTTAAGGTTAAAAAAACACATTATTTTCCACATACTGTACATTATTGTTTCTCCTCTATGCCCC